CAAAAAGTTATAAAATTAAGATAATCAGTAATTTTACAAGTATTTGTAAGCCATTAATTGTATACAAACATCATATTTAATATCTAGATATCGATACTATTTTATAAAATTTTAAATAGTAAGATTTATATATTAAATAGTCAAAACTTGTAAAATAAATTATAAAAGATATCCAAACAAAATTTATATTTATTACTGACTTGATATATTGAGTATGGTACAATTATCATGTTGTATTAAATAAATTAACAATATTTTAATAATAAAATATTAATCTATAGTATACCCCGTGCATCGCACGGGTATCAACACTAGTAACATAATAAAAAATACAACTTCGTCCAAAAACATTACAAGGATCAAAGTCCTTTTGTTGATAGTAATAAACCTATATATCAAAGCTATCTATCTATTCACAAAAACTAACAAAAGAAAATAAAAGAAGAATAAACAACAGGTATGATTTACAATAGACTAGCCTAACAATGAATAAATCACTCAACCAGTCATGGTTCTTTATCACTTACATCCTCTACATGATGATGACAGCGTCTAACATGTCACATAAATACACCATCAGCAAATAAGTTACAGCGAAACGGACACAAATCCGGCAAGCAACACAATTATAAGACATGGCAAATAATCAGCTTTCATTTACCAAAAATGCAAGTTCACAGCCAATTCGGTGTCGTCTTGACGGGGGATGGCTTTGAAGCGGATGGGTTTTGTGGAACTTTCTCCAACGAGCGATATTGCAACTTCACGCTTTCTGCATTGTCCAATGTCTTTACCACGTACCTAACCAGTTTGAAAACGTGAAGTAGAATAAGCTATGATCGACCTTTTTTATTTAATTATCTATACAGGCTGCCTTGAAATAATCCTATTTTAGTACATGTCATTATGACATGTAAATGGTAATACTCAAGGTGACTGTTATTCAATCAGCTATTTTTGGTCCTACCCAAGCAAACCACAAAATTCAGAAATAGATACAAAAGTTAAAAATACCTTTTCAGTTTGTGTTTGACTTGCAGTTTAACCTCTCAATGGGAGCAATTCGCAAACCAGTACAAATATGAATATATCTTTTTTCTTAGGTTCAGTATTCTTTCTGGCTCTTATTGAATAAAACATGGCAGAGAAACGAGAGTAGAGTTTGTAGTTCTCCATAAAATAAAGCTTAAAACCGACCTATGGTTAGACTCAATAACTGTTTTGGACTCTCTTAAGAGGGGAAAAAAGAAAGAAAAAAGAAGAGAGGGTTTTACCATCCATTCAAGCACTGAGTGGTGACAATGGCCTCGCGCCCAACGAAACGAGGAGGTGTTCTCTTGTTTCCCTGATTAGTAAATTCAATGTTAGAAATTCGACATAGTTCATCAAATTCATGCACCGATGACATTCTTCAGAAAGAAAAACGAACCTTTATGATAACATGATCTGTAACCATAAATGGAAACTGAACTCCTTTCCCCCTTGCCTGATCTGTGAGCGTCGGATCAGCAAATGTCCCCTTGTGGAAAAAAATAAAAAATAAAATAACTTCTAAAAGTTAGATCAAACCATATTGTAAAAACATTGTATTATATCTAGTTTTCTGTAATAGTTATTTTCAAATGATGACTAACATGATCATATCTGTCCCTCCTCTTTTTTGAGTTATGGTTAGGTTGCAACTCTTCTTCCCTCTTGAATGCCTGGACCGCTATGCGTAGAGCTACGACAACAAAGTGAAGCCGAAAATCAAAATAAAAACGAATTAATAATGTTTTGAAAAGACCAAGTGATGCTAATTGCAAAGGATTGAAAGCCATCATAATATGAAGTCCAAAAGATGTGCTCAAAATCCAGAAGCATATATACAAGGAAACAGATCAGAAAAATATCAGTATATAAAAGAATGTCAGATCACTGGTTAAAGATATTTACGTTGTAGGATGAAGTTTCAAGAACAGGTCAATGATCAAGAATTAATTCGCACTTAGTTGATTACCAATTTCAATCTGATTATAATAATAAATAGGGTAAGTAACTTTTTGCCATCCGAACTTTCAAGAAACATGCAACTTACTATATAAAGTATTTTTTATTTTACAAACCACCATAGTACTTAGCACGAATTTCACAATGCCCCGTGAAACTAGATATAAAGTAGTTTTAACTCAAAAACAACATATTTTCATGACATTTTAGTAATTATGTATATTCTGATATATGATAAATATCATAGGACGGACTAAATTTGTGTATTTTGCTTCATTTAAAAAAATGGAAGAGACGAGTCACTCGTAGAATCAGTAAGGGGGAATGCATGGCTGAAGTGGTCTCTTAAGAAAAATTTGAAGTCTCGAAATGACAAGGACGAACAAAGCTTTTCCAAATATTCTGGATTTAATTGGAATATCAGAAATGCAATCTTGCCGAGTAGATACATATATGCTTCTCCAATGTGATGAAATATCATTTTGTTGACCTTTGGATTGAAATCAAATGAATATCCGAGCAGGGAGGCTAATATTTTTTAAGTAACTTGATCTTAAATTAATATTTTGTAACCATTAACCCATCATGCAAATAGACAGAGTTCCTTGAGAAGACACTGGACCCAAACATCCACGAGACAATATGCCACACTGGTGCCGAGGAGAAGCTCACGGAGCCTGGGACCAGCAAGATGCTCTTCCTTGCCATCTTTCTCAACTACCTCGACCCGGTCCTCAATCTTGCCTGTGCCTCCAACTACAAGGAGCTGTTAGGTGTGTTCGTTTTTCTTTCTTGTGTTTATTCTACCTTTTTCTTTTATGTTTTTTACTATTCAATAAAAATGTACATAATTAGTAAAAATGCTATTGAAAATCAACTGTGTTCATTCTTCCTAGTTAACACCACTATGGCAGGTTTCAGGGGGCATTATGAAAATTGCGCAAAGTTGGTATGATGGTTTGTAAAAAAGAAGTTTACAAGTTAGTTTCAATTTCGTGAAAGTTCGGTTGCAAAAAGTTTTTTACCCTGATGAATTTAATATCCAATAAATATTTCATCTACCAAGAAGTAAACATAAAACGACAACGCCTTTGGGCAAAGTTCACACTTTTGCACACAACCAGCAATCTGAGTTAAAAGCTAGTAAAACTTGTACAAGAAGCATTTGCATCAAGTTTAATAGCCATCATCGCAGCCAACGAGTCAACTGTTGGAAGCACAAAATGATTGATACTGGAATACAGAAGGTTGGGATTCGTCAATTTTGGGGCACAATTTGCAGCATAGATAGAAATACTTAAGAGAAGAACATAGATTTGTATGCAAGGGGTCCACTATTAATTCTTTATGCTTTCCTCATAAATGAAGATATATGGACTTACATAGGTTTGGAGCAATTGAATCCTCGGACACAGATTGCGAGCACAAATAGCAAGCTTTCTGAAAAATGAGTTACTAATATAAATAATACATTCAATTAATTCCAATGAAAAAGGAATGGAATGGCACTGGATGCAAGTTAATTCAAAATGAAAATGAGACAAAAGATGCTTCTCGACATATAAAATTTGATCTAATGCACTCACATGGGTTTAAAAAGTGAATCTGCAAATGGAAAAGACAAATACGCAATGCAGGTTTATTAGCTGGCGTATGAATCTCCTGACCTGACCCTCTAAAGCTTAATATGCAAATCTTCACAATAGTGTTGGTAGTAAACAAATCAATAGAGCACATAAGAAAACATTGATCACCATAGAGTAAAGCCTTAGTTTCCGAAACCTTACCATTCCAATGATTTGCTGTATGCCACTGGTACCGTAGGAATGACCACAGGGCAATATCATTGCATCTTCCATAAGTATTCCTCTGTAAAGAGGCAATTAAAAATGCAAACATAAGCACAATTGTTAGTATTACTCATTTTGCAGAAAACCTATCCAAATTCCATATTTTGACGAGGACATGGTTGGCAAAACTTATAAGCCAAAAGGTACTATGTTTACTCTCTCTCTCTCTCTGAAGAAAACAATAACATGCGTATTTGAAGCCTGACACTAAAGTAAAAAAACAATGGAAATATACAACCAATTAAACCAATAGCAACACTAATGCATAGTTGAGCTTAATGACAATATTTCCAAAATCCCACATATAATGGAAGATTTAGCGGGAAAATGGGTGCTGCATAATATATAGACGTGTTTTAAAGAATCGACAATTCTTTACAATACTTTATTTTTTCTTTTGTTGGGAAACTAAGAAGCTGACACAACATTTCTGATATATCTCAAAATAAATGAGCACAACATCACCCTATCAACACTACATAAAGTTTTCGAGCAGTCAAAAATTTGTTTAACAAAATGGCCAACTCCCACACTAGCTTCACCCAACCACTGCAAGACATCGGATGTTCGTTTAGCAATTGATGTTGTGAAAAGAACTTTTGAGAAACACATACGTTATAGGGTCTGAAAAGATGGCCCTCAAGGACTCCGCACCCCATTCACTATTGTATGAGCTTTCCTTGCTGCCAATGTACCCACAGTCATTCTCCATCATCGCAACACCCTTTTGCCCGGATGACGAACTGGGGCCCTCGACTCCATTGTTCAAATACTGTGAGTAATAAAGTTCACCACTGCTCGTTTTCCTTGCTTCTCCACTTTCGTTATTTCCACTGTTGCTTTCATTTCCACTATGCGTCATGTTCCCATCTTTAAAACCTGGAAAAAGGCAACACAAAAGAATGAATTCTACCCAATTCAATGCTCTTACAGTGAAGAATATAAACCTTGCTATTAAACTTGGATTACCTAATGACGAAATGAGTTTCAGTTGTCCGCTGTGTCTTTCTTTTCCATGGCCGTCACTGATTTTAGCACCGTCGGCAATATTACCCAAATCGTTTCCCACTTCTCCTTCCTCCCCCTCGTCCTCATCATCGCCATCATTGCCGCCGAGTTCATCATCCTCCGACGCATTGCCGGCATGCCATTGGTGGCGGAACGAGGAAGAATCTTGGGGAGGAGGCGGCTGGGAGTGAGACTGAAAGAAGTGGGGGCGATCGAGGAAGCTGGTGGTGAGCTCACGGGTGACAGATTTAGCGACGGGATCACAGGCGGAAGAGCCAGTGTGGCAGTGCGGTGGCTGGGAGACACACGCAAAGGCTTTTGAAAACACGAGCTGCGACTGCGGGTTATGGATTTTCTGGTGAGAAACCATGCCGGCTTTTTCAGAAGCCATTTTCAGGGTTGGAGATCAAATGCAGTATCAGAGTCTTAGAGACTTAAAGCCTTTTTGAAGCTGGGATTGTTAGGGTTAGAGTTGGGGGAGGAAGCCTAAACGGCGTCGTCGCCAATTGAATTTCAGATGGTGCGAAGGAGTGTTTCGGTTGATCATATTGGGACAGCACACAGCAGCAAAGGACCAAGGTCAATTGCCCCACCCCACACTCTTTGACTTTCAATTATAATATTAACCCAATTATAATATTAACCAGTACATTTCAAAAAAATAAATATATATTTAATATTAGATGTGGCGAGGGTCGGCCCGGAACTAGCCCGTATGTACGGGTCATTGAACTGGACCCGTGCTACTAACGGGCCAGTTCCAGGCCTTTGTTTTTATTTTTTTAACCTGTCTGTTCCATCCATATTTTCGACCTTATTTTTTATTTTTCTTTTCGGGTTGGGTCGATCGTTGGGACCTGACGTCCAAATTGAATTTGGGCCGTCGGATCAATCTGACCGTTGGAAATCTAACAGTCAGTTTTTAAACTTTTATTTAAAAAAAAGGCGGGTCGGGTCAAAACCCATTTTTGAGTTGGACCCGGCCCGTTCAGGTCGCTCCACGTTCGTTTTTTAATCGCGTCGTTGCATCATTTGACCGCTGAGATCGAACGAGCAACATCAACACGACCCGCCTAACCGGCCGGGTTGACCCGGAACCCGGAGGATCTCGGTCCGAAAATTTAAAAATAAAAAAAACGAAAACATATACCCAAAAAAAAAAAAACACCTATAAAGACCCCCACCTTAATTCATTTTTCTTCACCCCATTGTGTTAACAACCTCTCTTCTCCCTCTATTCTACATTTTTTAAGTGTTGGGTTTTGAGTTTTTGTGCTTGGTTTGCAAGAAAATCGTCCGATTATATATAAATCTGTTTCCAAACTTTTTATTCTATATATTCACAAGAATTTTGGTTTCCATTCTATAAGTTTACTCCCATTTTATAATTTTTCACCTCTTTTTTTATTTTATAAATTATCTTCAAATTATAAAATGTCGAGCTCCTGTGGTGGTCGTGGCTCGGGCTCTGGAAAAAAGCGTAAAAATAGCAGCGCATTCGAGACCTGCATTACCGACAATGGCAAGGTCAACGATATATATGGATGCTCCCGGTGTAACCAACGATATTGATCCTGCGACGATCGAGCGCATATTTGAGTCCATTGATGATATCCAAGAGGTCGTACACGAGGAGTACGAGCAAGAGCAGTAGCAGTCGTACGGGGACGATTGACTGATCTCTTAGGGAATCAAGGGACTCAAGAGCCTCACCAGCAGACGCAAGAGCAGCCACCCTCTAGCCGCAGGGATGGTCGCGGCGGTCAATCGAAAATTTTGAAATCCGGCCTGTTCGAACGATATTACACGAAGGTGCCCAATCCAATAAATGTGAAAAACATTTTTTTGTTGTTTGCAATTACTATCCAGCCAACTCCAAGAAGACGTACGCTTTACACATAAGGAATTATCATATGCCGAAAATGGGGGTAGACACAGAATTCGCGACGACTGGTGCAGGTATGTATTCTTTGCTTCATTACTCGCATGATAATCATAGACGTTATTTAGCCGAACTTGTTTCTGCTTCAGCACTTCCTTTTAGTTTTGTTGATAGTGATTCGTATGATAATTTTGCTCAAATAACTTTGAATCCGGCTCACCAAGTTCCACGTTCTACTCTTACTCGCGATACTCAAAAAAATGTGGGTGAGAAAATATTAATTTTGCAACAAATTATTGAATCTTTAAACCATAGAGTATCTATTTGTTGTGATATTCGGTCTGATCATTGGCAAAATATTTACTATCTAGGAATTATTGTTATTGGACAAATGATAGTTGGACTTTACAAAATCGTTTAATAGGTTATGTTGGATTTCTTGAATAACACACTACTTCTAATATCGCTCGTTGAATTTGAAAGGTCTTAGATAATATAAAATTGGTAAAAAAAAAACTATTTTTTTTTTATAATACTAGTCAACACTGCATCTATACATGAGCTTAAAGAAGCTTGTACTCCCATTTGTTGGGGAAGATTTTTTCCTATTCATTATATATGTCATGTCATAAATATTTGTATGCAAGCGGGTTATCATGTTTTTAAAGACTCAGTCACGCCTATTAGGAACGCTTATTTACATGAACGTCCACATTAAATGAAAGCATGGTTTAGATTGTGTAAAGCTTAAGGATTTAAATCTAAACATTCCCAGTCGGACGTTCCTACCAGGTGGAATTCAACATATAAAATGTTGAGTGGCACGGTTGAGTGGATGGTGTAATTGGAGCATTTTTTTTTTTTTTTTGGAGTGCTCAACGTAAGGACTATGATGTCCGAGTTACTTCGAATGATAGGGTGAACTGTAATGTACTTATTTAATTTTAGAAACATTCAAATTGCCTCTAACATACTTTCTGGTATTTACTATCCTACTACTCAACATGTATTGAGTCAATCTATAGCCATAATTGGCGTTCTAAAGATCTTTATTTTAATGATCCTCTTAAATATGGTGAATTAGTATCAAACATGTTAAGAAAATGGTCAAATTGTTATTATTTCATTCATGATACATTTTTTATGCTTGTTAGATTCTTTAGTACGTGAAGTTGAATTGATGACCCACCTTTACCATGCATTATGATATTATGTATGAACTTTAAATTCTGACTGATGTTCCGACATACAGTCTACCCGGAGAGTTGACCTTGTTTCCCCAGCTGCCCGTCCGTACTACCTACAGTGTCTTAGACTGTTAGGCTTGTCAACGGTGCAGACGACCTAATCTCGTTGCGACACATGGTCCAATCCTCATATAGTGCGGTTCCCGAGTTAGATGCCTTCTCATCTCTGTAACGCCCCGTTTGATTATGAATTATTGGAGATTATTATTATTATTATTATTATTATTATTATTATTATTATTATTATTATTATTATTATTATTATCATATTAATTGTT